CATGTCACTACAGGCTAACAGTGAATGGGTCTGGGCTCCTAATCATGAGTGAGACAGTTGTAAACATTGAAGCAGACAGATCCCAGATATTGGAAATGAATATTATCAAAATGGGGTGCTTTTAAATGGGGTTGTGGGTATTGGAGATACAGATGAAGTGGCAATGGCTGACTATGGTGTTATGAAATCCAGTCATCCTGGACTTTTCTACAGGAAGATTTACTTGTTTTTTTTTTTAATCCTATAAGCTGGTTATGAACTCACTAACCAGAACTTTATGGAGTGCATGTGGAATAAGCTAATACTGCTGTCTCCTCGTTACCACTTTCTTTTTTTTTCCCCAACCTATCTCATGCTCTCAATGTTCTTAGCTAGACTTATGGTCTCAGCAATGAAGAACCCCATCTATTTCTGAAGCAGAGATGCTCTGGCCTCTCAGAGAGGGAGACTAGGCTAAAGGTTGGATTGTGGAATCAGTCAGCCTGGATCCAAATCTTGCTCCCCTGTTTGTTAGATAGGGAGGAGGTTCCAGCAGGTCACTTAAATTCTCAGGTCTCCAGTTTCCTGATCTGGAAAAACGGGAAGAGCAGAAGATCAAAGGTAGAATGGCTGACATAGAACATAAGCATGTTCTCCACGACAGAGGACTGTATTTTTCTTGGTACTGTCATGAAAGTTCTGAGAGAAGATGGCAGAGGACGCATGTTGACCTTGAATAGTAACCTTTGAGTGCATGCTCATGGGGAACTTAACATTTATAGCTACTCCCCAACTTCATCTCAGGTGAATTGTCTCTGTACAAAGATCGGGTGCTGCAGGGCTTGTCAACTAGGGCTGGGTGGCTCAAAACTTCACATCTGTTTACAGCAGGTCCCAGTCCCACTCCTACTTCTCTATCCACCTGTGTCTTTGCAAAAGACAAGCCAAGGGGGATTTTCTGTAGAGGGACGTGATGCTGCTGCAGGCCACTGAAACTGCCTCTCTGGAAAACCCTAAAGCCATTCTCAAGAATGTAGGTGACATGAGGGATCTCAGGGAGACTTGCCGCATTCATAGGATGACAGGTGATTCGATTTAGATAAATCCAGTAGCCGCTCCTGTGCACATTCTGAAAGCCTGTCCCCTCTCTAGGCATGGCTTCCAGACCAGTCCAAGTGTGATGAACTGAACAGTTCTACTCTCTCACTAACTGAAGGTGAGAACTCAGACCTCCGCAAACCTGCCAATTAGAACTTTGCACTAGATTGTAGTTATGGAAGAATAAACATTCACCAGATAATTTTACCCATGGTACAAGTGAGTTTTAAAAATAAATCACCCCAATTTCACAGGAAAACAAACAAGCAAGCAAACAAACAAGTCCACTGAAGCTCAGAGAAGTGGGAAAATACCCAGACTAGGAATCAAGCCCTCAGATGTAAGCTTTTCCAACCACACAGCTGTCTTGAAGAAGCCATGGGATCCTCTGTATCTCTGGATAATCCATATATCTCTCCATCTCTCTTTACCTAGTTAGAGCAAGATAAAGCCAAGATGACACTGCTGTTTCCATGCTCCATCACCATGCCCTCTTACCTCCTCCATTTGAGCCCAGTAGTCCAGCACATCGCTTGCAAAGTTAAATTCCTCAGGTGAGTCATAGTCATTCCATCTTTGAGTTTCAACTCTTGATGTAGATATGCTGCACTGATGAGAAGGTTTGGGGAAGAAGCTGTGGAAGAATTTGTAGATGCCCCATGGGATCTGGAACTTCTTCAGGCACTGCATATTGAGGTGGTTCTCTGGTATGAAACATAGAACCTTCAAGTCACTGTCTGCCTTGAGAAGAGATGGGTTACACACCAATCACCCCGCAGGAGCTTTCTCCATATAGTGTTGATATGTGGTTCTGATCCATTGCTAGAATTACCTCTTGCTCATGATGGGGATTTCTCTACCCAGCTGAATGACAAAATTCCAGCGAATGGCTGTAGCTGGTAGTATGCTTGATTGGGACACATTCTGGGAGTTCTCTTGCAACTCTCTCTGATTTGATTCCAGGGTGGTAGCTATGTGGCCATCCTGTTTGCAAATCCTGTTCCATGGGACAAGTTAACTTTACTCTGGAGACCTTTCTTTTTGTGTAGGCTAATCTTGTAGTTTCTATGGAAACTGTCATATCTTCATCTAAATCCCACCCCCAAAAGCTGATGATGGGTCAAAATCTCAATAGTCATCGATGTGATTTTTTAAACACAAGCTAGGGCAATCACAGTCCCTCTCAAAATTTTGTGTGTGTGTGTGTGTGTGTGTGTGTGTGTGTGTGTGTGTGTGTGTGTGTGTGTGTATGCGCGCGC